CGCAGAGGGTGGGGGGTTTGCACAGAAGGGAGAGACTTGGGGGGGGGGGAGGGGGTTTCGTTAAGCAGAGGGTCGGGGTGCGCAGAGGGTGGGAGGTTTGCACAGAAGGAGGAGACTTGGGGGGGAGGGGGTTTCGTTAATTGTGTGTGTGATAGAGAAAGAGAAACAGAGGGGGTGATAGATAGAGAAGCAACTGGTGGTGGTGGGTTGCGCAGAGGGAGTAGGGTGAGGGTTAGCGCAGAAATTGGAGAGCTTGGGATGGAGGGCTATCTGTGTGTGTGTGCGAAGAAAAGAGAGACAAGTAGAGAAGAGGGATACCTGGCTGTGGCGGTGTCGCTGGAGGTGGTGTAACACAGAGTGTTCTGTGTTGATAGAGAAAGGAAGGGATGGCGCTAAGGGAAAACAGAGGAAAAGAAGGAAAAATATGGTCAGAGGCCGACAGGCGTTAAGAGACAGGTGATGGGTGCGATAAAGATGATTTTGGGGGAGAAAAATATATATAGGCACATTTTTATTTTATTATATAGATTTTGTTATTTTTTTTTTGATTTTTCCTGTGTTGTTTTTGTTATTACTTATTTTATAAAATAAATTAAATTTCATGTTATTAAATTTCATGAAATTAATTTAAATTTTTTTATATATATGACGACATATATTTTGTTACTTGTTTCTTAATTTATAAATAACACTTAATTTAAATAAAAAATAACACATTAACTATAAATACCAAACAATATTTAACACGATATAAACCTTAGATTGTAAATTAATATATAATTTTATCAAAAAATTGATATGAAATTTTGTCTAATTTATATTCAAATTTGTCAAATTAGTATTAAATTATTTTTATTGTTATTCATTTAATCAATTTATTGGAGTACTAAATTATATCAATTTTTTAGGTACTAAATCAAATTTTAACACATTTTATTAAATTTATTTTTTTTTTTTACTAAATTTGTAGAAGGGCAATTGTAAAAATAATAAAAAATTTTGAGATAAAATTATCAATTTTCGTTAACAATATTGACGAAAAATGAGACAAAAGGGGTCTCCGTGCAATAAATTCAAATCTTAAGGAGTCTCCGTGCAATGAATTCAAACCTCAGGAGATCTCCATGTTATTTATAAAATTTCAGAAGGTGTCCATATAATATTGCCAAAATTCAAGGGATGTCCGTGTTTTTTACCCTGTTTTTTAATTAAACATTAATTTACTATTATTTTATCTTAAAAATTTGAATTATTGTATTTATAATACAAGCAATTATTGGTTAGAAATATTTATTGGTAACCAAAATAGAAATGTGTATGGGTGAGTTTCTTGTGTATATTTATATGTGTAGGATTAGACATTTGTTGATTAAATTATAATTATATTATGTCATTTGCGGTTGAATAGTGATAAATTTCGTGAGTTTTATAAGTGAGCAAGATTTAATTGATTTATTCATCGCTTAAAGATTATGAATTTAATTTTGTTCTATTAGTATTTTTTTTTTTGCTTGAAGTATTTATTACATGAAGATATGACAGATTAAAAATATGGTGATTGAGTTTATCATTATGTTGTGTTTTGAATTGAGTGGAAGTAGAGGTGATAAATTTGCGAGTTGAATAAATGAGCAAGACTTTATTTATTTTATTTATTACTTAAAGATTGTAAATTTTAATAAGTTATGTTAGTATTTTTTTTTAGAGGCGTTTGTATATATGGTATTATTTTAGAGAGTTTTTTTTTATATTTTTTATGACAGTTTATTAATATGAAAGATATGATCAACGATATATTTCGAGTCATTTAAAAAACAATTGGTATGAATATTTTTAGATCATTCCTTTCGAATTTTGGCAATTATTTAAAAAAATTTTGTTTTTTATATAGTAACTTCAGACACGGGTAATGACAGTATATAATAAGTAGCTAAAAAATTTGTCTTGAGCTTTTTGCAATTCAAATTACTTGATAATTATTGATCTAACGATTTCATGCAAAATTTTCCTAAGACTCTTATATCTCATTTAACTCTCTCTCTCTCTATATATATATATCTTATATAGACATACACACACTCTCTCTCATATTATTATCTTATTTTTTTGTTTTCCTTGTGATTTTTTTATTTTATTATTTACTTCCTAGTTTCATATGCAATTATTTATTATATAAAATTAATTCAAGTTTTTATATATTTAACGATATGTATTTTGTCACTTGCTTCTTAATTTGTAAATAACATTTAATATAAATAAAAAATAACACACACTTTTCACGATTTGACGATTTTTTTATTTGAGTTTCATATATTTGCCTGAAAATTGGGTCTTAATTGGGTCATATATTTTTCAGGGCTTAAATTCCTATATAATTCTCATTGACAATGGTATTTAAATAGATTATTTTTGTAATTTTTTTAATATTTGCTCTACTTGTTATATTTTATGTGTTTTCATTTGTCTTTTTTGTGGGTATAGGTGGAGGTGTGAGTGGGCGATAATCGTGGTGTGAACTTTAATATTTTTTATTGTCTTTTAGAATTGTGTGGGTGAGTTTTTATCCTTCTACAAGCTTCACCAAACAAGATTTTAAAGTTATTTTGACGATTTTCTCATATTATTTTTAAAGGTAAAAAACATGGACACCTCCTGAGTTTTGGTAATATTACACGGATATCCTCTGACATTTTACAAATAACGTAGAGACTCCTGAAGTTTAAAACTCATTGCACGAAGACCCCCTTCATCTCTCTTTAGTCAATATTGTTAACGGAATTGATGATTTTATCTCAAAAAACTTTATTATTTTCACAATTATCTTTCTCCAAATTTAGTACCTAAAAAATTGATATAATTTTGTACCCCAAAAAATTGATTAAATGAATTTCAATATTAATTTGATGACAATAAAAATTAATTTAAAATTATTATGAGAAATTTGAATATTAATTTGACAAAAATTGAATATCAATTTTATAAAATAAAATATTATTTATTATTGATCAAATAAACACGAAATTGACCATAGATTATATTTTTGACATTATTATCAATTTTTTTAGTACTAAATTTTTAAAATTTTTTCTAACTATCAATTTTTCAAAATTTTTTGTCAACTTTTTAATCTAGTTTCACATATTTTCATGTGAACCAAATATTTTTGAGTTTAACAAGTAGAGGTGAGAAATTCTCTTAAAAAACAAAAGTGGGGGGGAGGGGGGGGTGAACAATTGATTTGGTTTAAGTATGTATGTTTGAATCTTGACCAAAAAAAATTTATCAAATGATTTAGTAAGAGGAAAAACGCTATGCTATAAAAAAAATATGTATTTAAATTTTATGAGTTAAAATATAAAATTTTAAGTTGATATACAACAAAAAAATTTATAATTTAAGGTCAATTTCATGTCGTTTTAATCAATACTAAATAATATTCAACATGAAATAAACCTTAGATTGTAAATTAATATATAATTTTATCAAAAATTGACATTTAATTTTGTCCAATTTATATTCAACTTTATCGAATTAACATCAAACTAATTTTTATTATTATCAAATTAATATTAAAGTTCAGTTAATCATTTTTTTTGGGTACTAAATCAAATCTTATTTCATTTTATTAAATTCTTAATTTTTTTGGGTACTTAAGTTGGAGAAAGCAATTGTAAAAATAATAAAATATTTTGGGATGAAATCATCACTTTTTGTTAGCAATATTGACGGAAGAGAGACAGAGAATGTCTCTATGCAATAAATTTTAAATCTTAGGGGGTGTCCGTGTTATTTATAAAATGTCCAAGGGTGCTCATATAATATTGTCAAAACTCAGGGAATTTCTATATTTTTTACCATATTTTTTAATTAGATATTAATTTATTATTATTTTATCTTAAAAATTTAAATTTTTGTATTTCTAACGAAAACAGTTGTTGGTTAAGAATGTTCGTTGGTAGCTAAAAAAGAAAAGTGTGAGAGTGTGTTAAATGTATATTTATATGTGGAGGATTAAAATTTGATAATTAAATTTATAATTATATTGTACCATTTGGGGTTGAGTGGTGATAGTGGCGATAAATTCGTGAGTTTTATAAATAAACAAGATTTAGTTGATTTTATTTACCGATTTAAGATTATGAATTTAATTATGTTCTGTTAGTATTTTTTTTTTTGGCTTGAGGTATTTATTACATGGGGAATATGGTAGATTGAAAATATGGTGGTTGAGTTTATAATTATGTTCTACTATTGGATTGAGTGGTGATAATTGTGATAAATTGTAAATTTCAATGGATTATGTTAATATTTATTTATTTTTTTCGGAGGCATTTGTATATATAATGTTGTTTTGAAAAGTTTTTATATATTTTTATAACAGTTCCATTAATATAGAGGATATGGTTGGTGATATATGCTGAGTCACTTTAGAAGAAAAATTTGTATGAATATTTTTAGGCCATTCTTTTTGAATTTAGGCAATTGTTTAAGATTTTTTTTTGTTATATAGTGCCTTCAGGTACGGGTAATGACTAGTATATATATAATAATTCTAACCTATATATGAATATATATAGATACGAGAGAGAAATTTTTTTAATATTAGTCAACCTCCTAAAATTTAAGAGTTTTTAATTTTTAATTTTACTTCCCTTCTAAAGGGAAGGAATAGTCTAATAACATTGACATAAAATAGAGTTCATGACAAATAGATTTTCCTTAATTTTCGAGGCAGGCCCAATTTTCTTATCAATAGAGGGCCTAATCTAGGAGGTTTTCGATCTTTTATCTTCTAATTCTTATATAATTAAATTTCCTTGATATAAACATTTTATATAGTGTTTTACTTTCAATTTTGTGGATAGTTTCTATTCTAGTGAAGTTCACCTCACCTTCTAATGAACACGACCATTGTAAACTCAGCTATTTTAAGACAATAATTATACATTTCTTATATTCACAGTTCAACTCAAGCCAATTTATTATTTCTTTATTAATTTTCTTAAATTCACACGTAGCTAGGTTATACTTGCATGCTATAATTATAGTGATCTTTAATATAACTATAGCTTAACCAAAGAGCCAATAGAAATAAGCTATTTCTACAACATCCAATTAATGGAGAGATTCATATACAAATGCAGTTCAATCTCTCTCATTTCAATCTTCATCTTAATTGTATATCAAGATTTTCAATCCATCATCTCCCGAGTTGTGTCGCTCTTCCTCAATTCTCCTTGCACATTCCACAGCAGAGGATCTTGGCTGGTATAGCTCGATCATCAGTAATGTAGGTGTATTACACAAGCCAGACGGAAGCTCCTTGAGACGCCTACAACCATCCAACACTAATCTTTGGAGGAAGGGAAAGTGATTACTTGAGGCAATCCATTGCTCAAGATTCATATGTTTAAGTTTCAAAAATTTAAGTCGACGAAACCCACCATTTGGTGTCTTCCACTGCTTTCCTTTGAAGGCATCATATTCCAATTTGAGAACCTCAAGGCTGGGTAACAACCCAAGGGTTGACGTTTCCTTCCAGTCCACATGACCACCTAATAAAGTTAGCTTTTGGAGATTGGGGGGAAACATGCACATTTGGGGAATGCTTGATGGAGAAGAGTTCCACCTCCAATAAACTAACTTCAGTGTCGTAAGCTGAACTAAATTGGCTAGGACTGGAAAAGATAAATTCCCAAACGGTGATAAAGGTATAAAAAGACCCAGTTTTCTAAGATTTGGAATCATTTTTAAGACATCCTCACTTAAACTAGAAAGACATAATGTGGAAATGGTTTGCAGGTCATTAAGTAAATTCCAAGTATCACAACAAGGGTCTACTAATTCCAATGGAGCTGAAATATGTATATGCCTCAGCTTTTGCATCTTCCAAATACGAGGTATAGTTATTTTGATGCCTCCCCTTTTATAAAGAATAAGAGTTTCTAGGTTCCAGAGGTTGGATATTAGTGACGGTAGGCTCTCAGTAAAGTAAATTTGAAGTGCCAAGTACCTCAAATGAACCAATTGCAATATGACCACTGGGAACAATTTCAGAGTGATGTGCGATATATCAAACACCCTAAGCTGTTTATAAATGGATAACATAGTTAGATTAGGGTGTGCATTCCTACCAGATATGTCCAAGGAAAGAAAATGAACATGTGGGACAGATGACTTCCCAGGAATAACAGGGGTATCATGAGATAGAAAGGTCGGGTAGTTATATGAGATAGGACCTGAACCTGAAGAAGAAATGACTGCTCCATGCTGGTAAATCGGCACTTGAAATTTCGGTGCTTTTCTCAGGCACAAATCATGCAATGTATCATGGATATGACATGCTTTGATTTTACCATCAGAACTTTTCTTGGCAGGAATTATTAAACTTCTATCAATCAAATCCATCAGGTAACCCTCTGCTATATCCTCTAAACTCTGTAGTCCATTTGGCCGTATAAATCCTTGGGCAATCCACAAGCATATCAACCTCCATACTGGGATTTCATAGTGTATCTGCAATGCTCCAAAATATGTAAAGCATGGTTTCAAGTGAGAAGGTAAGTTCAAGTAGCTCATTTCTAGTATTTCCATGAATTTTTCATTGCGATCACCGAAACTACTCCATCTTACTCGATTTGCAAATTGGTTCCACAACTCTTGCGTCTTCTCTTCCTCTGCAAGAAATCCAGCTACAACAACAATTGCAAGCGGAAGTCCCCAACATCTTTCAACAATTTCCATTCCAATTTTTCTCAACTCTGGAGGGCAACTATTTCTCAAAAATACCTTTTGTTGAAATAGATCCCAACTTTCAGCTTTAGTTAAAAAACGCAAACAGTGAGGAGGCTTACTGGCTTTTATGTCCAAAGCAACTTCTTTTAACCGAGTGGTGAGCAAGATTCTACTTCCATTGTTGTCATTAGGAAAATATTGTCTTAAATCATTCCAGGCCAACAAATCCCATATATTATCCATGACAATTAGAAATCTCATACCCTTCAAGCGTTTGTATAATTCTTCCCCCAACTTTTCTTCTCGGAAGGTATCTTCATCGCTCATTGCAAAAAAATCATCTTTATTCTTGACAATAGAGCTCAGAAGACCAAGTAACAAATCCCTTTTTCTATATACCTGTGACACATAAATCCATCCACGAATATAGAAGTGATATACAATGAAAGGATCATTGTATAATTTTCTGGCTACTGTTGTCTTACCGAGTCCGGCCATCCCAACAATTGAGATAACATCTAGTTGCCTTTGTACTCCAGTAAGCCTTTCCATTATCGCCATTGCCTCATCCTCAAAGCCCACGAGAGTCTCTTCCTCTACAATGCTTTTGCTTGCTCTTGACCCTGTTGATCTGCTACTTGTGGCAGACATGTTTACTTCTTGAACGACTGGGTCGGAGAACTTGTCATTATCCTCCAACTCCTCTACTCTTGATATAATTTCTACAATTACAGGTGCCAGTAAAGTCGTGTCATATCATTTCAAAACGTGTCATTTCAGTTCTAGGTTATGTTCGTGTCATAATTCATGTTAAAAAATTACTTCATTCTGATATAATTTATATCATAATAGATCAAGAAGTAAAAATAAAAAAATAAAAAAACTTTTTTTCGTGTTACACTACTAACATGTTATTCTTATCTACCATTAACCCAACTCATTTTGTATCAATTGTGTAATTGTCAAGTTTGTATCGTATTTGTACTGAAGTGTAAATTGACATCCCCTACCTGCAATAGTCTCTTCTTGTGGTACTGCGATGCTGTAGAGCTTCTTGTCATAAATCTCCAACACTTGTTTCTTGATAGACTTAACCTCAAGTATCATATCTCTCACCTTTTGGGAACGACCAAAGACCTGATAGAATCGCTCAGAGATGTTCATACCCTCATACATGAGGCTAATGATTGTAAACATGTCAAGGTCAACCAATGCCTTGGAAGCCATCTCTCCAATATGTGTCACTAAGATCTTCAATTCATCGCTCTCATTGAACTTCTCCTTGGAATCCCTGAGGAAGTCTTTTATGAATTTAAGATCCTCATAAAGGACTTCAATAGGAACCATTTCTTCAAGAATCAAAGCAGTACAACGGCTTAACACCTGACGTAGGTCCTCCAGTAGAAAATCAACCACAGAATCAGCCATTTTCTCTTAAAACACCCAAGCACTTGAACAATCCACCACAGAGGGTTGTGCTTTTCAGCGCTACAGCCAAGGAGTCAAAAGGATTGTGGGTTACGGTTTAGGATTTAGGATATAGGGCTTAGAATTTGTGATTTTCAATTTCCAAAAAAAAAATCCCTTGTTAAGAAGACATTGTATTTTCCTTATTTTTTAAACGGTAGTTCTAGGAAAGTGTTGCTTAAAAATAACGTACAACGAAATTTTTTTTGGGCACTTATATCTCAATTTATCATATTTATCTTTGTTTTTATTTTTTTTGGGTACTTATATCTCAATTTATCATATTTATCTTTGTTTTTATCATATTTATCGTTGTTTTTATCACTCTTATGGTATCCAAAAAAAAGGTAAAAAGAATTACTAAAACACTGATAAAAATATTCATAAATGAGATAAAATACCTATAACAGAAGTGATAAATCTCCCACAAAAATGATAAATTTTTTTATAAGTGATAAAAAAATATCCACAAAAGTGATTAATCATCCACAATAATGATAAATTTTTTTATTGCAAAATAACCTAGAATATTTCTAAATTTTATTGACAATTTCTATTCGAATTAGATTCATCTCACTTTTTTTAATCAAATTCAACTCTAATCGTATTTTCTTACTATTACCACATACAATGGTGAAGACATTTTGTTAGAGATTAATTTCTTTTTTTATTTTCTTTTTGTACGCATTATATATACCGATCGGTTTTGGAGTCTTTTGTATTTAGTGAATTTTTAAGTATTAAACTTGATTAAATAAACATAAATGTATTATCTTCTATCGATGGACACCAAGAACGCTTAAAGTTTACCAAAAAATAATTTTCTACTTCAACAGTACCCAAATTGTGGAAGCATAACGGTATCTATGAAAGAACAATTCTGATTTGAAACAAGACATTAGGTAAATTAATTAAACACTTCCACCACAGCAAAAAAAAATCAGTGTCATCATGGGAACTAACTCAGTTAAGTAAAAGAAGATGAACACTCAATCACCAACATTTCTTTCTTCTGGCCCATTTTCCATGACAGAAGTATCCAAACTACTGTCTTCAGCAAACGAACATTTACTTTACATTTCTACCCCTTGATTGGTTTGACACCAATGACAACCAGTCAGTTATAATCCTTCTTGCATTGTACACACTCTTTTAGGCGATTATAATCCTCCGTCACGGGTTTATATATAAATTCATAGATTATTGGCGACTCATGTGAGTTTATAATAAATAACGTTGGCAGCCAACCAACAAGAATCTAACACGTGGCCATCTGTAGTCATTGAAGCATGTGTGATTCATCATAAAGATGATACCAAGCAAGTAGAGTAGTCGGGTTTGAGAAGTAAACATAGGACCGAGCATTAAATAAGGTGTGATAGGTCATTAATGGGGATCACATTGGCTTGACAAGCCATTAATAACTGATTAATCCTCGAAGAATGTGAAAACAACTGTCATTATGCGGTTATACAGGCATCTAGACCAGGGGGAGCCCTCAAGAGCTAGTAGCTACTTATAAATGCTCGGCCGTAGGTTCTGAGCATTTGTTTAGAGCACTCGATGGTCAGGAAGGGAGCAATGAATGCTCGGCTTATTCCTACTTGTGAATTCAAACACCCAATCACTTAACATTAATGTGATGTGATGGAATGACACTCATTATGCTAGATTATGAGCACCAGCTACTAAAGTCTAGGATGGGACTTTGGATGGGAGAGGCATCATTGCAATCTAAGGTATAAATACCCCTCTAGAAGCAAAATTGAGGTACACAAGCTTAATCTGCTCTCCATTGTGCATTTACTCCATACTTGAACACCGACTAACCTAAGCATCGAAGGGGGTACATTGGGTGAATGCTTGGACTTTTGTGCCTTGCATTGTGACCTAGTTTGGGGGTTGCCTCATTACTTATAAATAAAAAGATAGTTTTTCAGGAGAGAGGATCTGGTCCTTCTAGTTTTCTTCTTTATTTTTGTGGTATTTTCAATTATTTCTGGCTAAAAGGCAAGCTAAGGCTAGGAGAGAATCTTTTAATGAAATACGATATTGTTTTTGATTCAAGGTTTTAATTGCTTGATTTATTCTGTTAATTCGATGTTATAACTATTGGTGTTTTCATATCATTATTGCTAAATATTTTGGTTGGAATCACTCCTCAGCTGATTTTTAATTGAGTTTAGAAACTGAGTTTTTAATAATTGTTGAATGGATTTGAAAGGGTATCCTTGATACTTTAGTATTTAATTATTGTTTTAATCAATTCATCTTTGTTTTGCTGGATAAAATTTATATTCAAATGAATTTTAAATAATTTTCTTTTATTTTTTTTGTGTTTCTTGTTTTCACAATTCCCTGAAGATTTGACCTCGGACTCCCAAGAAATTTATTACTTCGCAACAACCTACGCTTGGATATACATTTTTAAAGTAATAGTAGCTATCTCAACCCATTATAAGAATTCTCCCATGCAATTTGGCACCGTCTGTGGGAAGGTTATCGAACCAAGCTTTCTTGTAGTGATACGTATGGTGAACACTCGATCTCAGGGCAAGGTGGGCTTGGGTTGAATTCAGGTTCTGTAATTCAGGCAAATTTTGGGTTAGAATTTGAGTTAGGTTCATTTAAGCCAAATCAAATATTTACCTAAAGTAACAATCAATAACTTTAATCAAATATTTAACATAAAAACCATAGTATTTAAAACACAAAAGTCAATGTTTAACATAAAGACATAATAGCCAAATGTTTAACATAAGATTGAAGCAGAAGACTGATCTCTAGTGTTTTAACTTTTAAGTTATATTGTTATATTGATTTATATATTTATTTTTAAATATGTTCGGGTTGAGCTAGATTTATATATTCGGGTTGAGCCAAATTTATATATTTAGGTTGAACCCGATAACTCGAGACCTCCACCGAGTACTGCCCGAATTCAATTTGGGTTGGTATTTTTCTGCTTAGACCCAACACAAGTATTAAAAATCTCAACCCAAGACCTTTTTTTCTCAAATTGAATTCAGATTGATCTGCCCAAGTTGCACCCCTATCCTAGCTTGAGAAATAATGGAGCTCATGGAAGAATAGTTGGGTGGCCATTTGAAACAAATTGAACGAGACAACGTCAATGTCCTCAATCGATTGTGAATTATTTCAAGCGATTGGACAAAACTAGTTGGTGAAGCAAAGGACATGGGTGCAGGAGCGTCCATCGGAGCTACTCTCGTGATCCTCTGTCACGCCCCATCCCGGTTTTCCAGGGATGAGACACGACTAGGTTTTTGATACACCTGTTTACATATATATATATATAATCTAGATTAATAAAACACTAAGTAATCTCACATGTGCAACAATACCACCCATCACCTTAGTCAATAAACATGATGGTAAATCTATCTCATAACCTGTACCAATTATTTATTTTCGAGGTTATAGACAGATACAAACTCTCACACCCACATGACATACATCACAAAGTATGATTGTTGAGTCTATTTACAAATATGCAGTATTAAACTGCTATAATAATAATCTTTCACAAATATAATACATAATCCAGAAATTAGTCATACCGACACTCAACCTGAGTGATATCACACTATCGTTGTACAAGACTCAATTGACTGGACAGAGAACTGGTCTGTATCCTCCTCTACAGTACCTGAAAATGAAGAGCTGTAGGGGTGTGAGCTAAATCACGCGCTAAGTGAGTATACATGTTGTATATGAAATGGAAACGATAGTAATATACTGAAGTAGGTAAATACTATGTAGATATACGTATCAAACAACAACATCAATCCAATTCCAAAGAATTCACAAGTCACATCACATTCATACTACCCCTCATCGGGTGATTGATCCCACATGGATTCGTGTCTCCCGAACCTCCCGGGAACACTATAGTGCTAGCATATCACTGCACGCCCAGTGACCAGGCATCAACGGCCCTATATCAAACAGTGCACCACATTCCACAATACACAATACATAGTATAAAATCATTCAATCACATAAGCATGTAGCACATAATTTTGGAGAATTGCTATTAAATTCTATCAGTTACTATTATAATATAATAGCATTTCCAAAACATATAAAGATATACACCCACCTCAAGTGTACAGAGCTACGACGAGTCGTCGAATCTACCAGTGAATTCCTTCGCTGTTTCCGTATCTGTTTTAATACCAACTGTCCCACTTGTTCCGCCTAACACATTTATAATTAAATATCAACATATTTATCACATTGAAAAATTGATCATGCATTAATGCATGCAAGACGATTCAACCCAAAGTGTCTCGGTAACCTCGGTTACTCACATACTGGTACATTAGATGTAGGGATCATATTTCCTCCCCAAATCTTCAAAATCACTCACATTAATCGCAATTATACAATTAG